CAACTATTCTCTATCCAAGGTATGACACCGCCAGAGTCGTCAGCCTTTTGTGGCCGGAGTAGTGACTGGGATATCAAATGCGGACTGATAGCTGCTATACAAACACTCTCGCTGTTGTCGATTCTGGTAATGGATAGTGATTTAAAATGTTTCTGGGCTCGCATAATGAAGGCGTTGGTATCAGAAAACATTGCTTTCTGAACTGCTAGACACTCCCTATGAACATATGCACAACTTATAGCTAGTGTAAAACATAATTGTCCTTTTACAGCGGTTTGAAGTAGACGTACCTCATGTTATCTTAGAAAATGGAAAGCTTCAAAAATATGCACTCATTAAACACTTGCATAGTGAAAGATTGAACGGAAATTTTTTTACAACGATATAGTTTTAGATAATACATAAGTGACTGCGTATGAAATTGCAGTAGCTTTGAGCATCCAAAATGAACTTGAGTTTCCTATTACAAAAAAATGAATTAGTGTCTTTGAAGCTATCGCCAACTTGAGTAGCGCATTGGTTAACTTTGGACCAAAACCAAATTCGCGTAAGACTTTCCCAACAACATCTGAATCAATTTGCAAAGGCTAAAACTAATTTTACGCATTGATTTATAATTATGGATGAGACTCTGATCCCAAATTGCCACAACAATCCACATACTCTACTACTCTGAAGTAAGCAAATCTATGGCATCCATTTTTGGGAATGCAAAAGGGAGACTTTTGATGGTTTACCTGAAGACTATCAAAACTATGACAGTTTAGTATCATTATAATCTTCTCGATAATCTAGCTGTAAAAATTCGGGAGAACGGGTCAGGCTTACAAAAGACTTTGATGATCTTTTACCCATCATGACAATGTACCTGCTCAGAGAAGCGCACTAACAATGACAAAAATCAGTCAATCACATTGCTGCTCGTCACATTTAGCACTTTCTAACTTTCACGTTGCGAAGGAGTATTTTAGCCATAAATGATGTATTTCAAATAGGTTCCAGAGAATCACTTCAGGAGGGTATGAATCAAATAGCAGATAGCTATAAAAAAATGTGTTAAGCTTTATTCAGATTATATTGAAGAATAAACGTTTTTCCAGATATTGTTTCATGTAGAATCCAGAAACTGTTCAAGTCGCCTGATATAGTGCAGTTTCGTGTATTTTTAGAGCCGTGATCTTCAGTATGGTATACGTTTTATAGTAGCAAAGATATGAAGAGAAGTACCTTTGATTTTGCATACTGTTTATTTATTGACAGAATGAGCAATAATCATTGTTCGTGGAATGGAAGATTAGCATACTAAGTCAAAGATGGTAGCTTGGCGAGCATTTAGTGTCGCCCTAAGTGCAAGGTGCCTATGGAGTTAAGCGTCATGTCTCTGTCAATAATGAATCGGGTATAAGTCTAGCAAAACTTGTTTGTGGAGTTTGGTTTTTGTATGCAAATTAACTTTTCTAAATAGAAGAGCTGTTTGGAAGTAGAAAATGAATCTGTAGCGTACAAAAAACCAAAACAAAATACGGCTCTGACTATCTGGGCGTTGACAGGTCCTTCAAAATCATAGGTATTGCGCCGATATGGGGAATTTTGACATATTACTAGGAAATCAGCTGTCATTGTACCATGATGGATACCTGTGAAATAGGGTATATGTGGTTTTCTGCTACCGGGGTCGGGTATTGTCTTTGGGGGCCAGTATCTCTATCCGCTTGTTTGGTTTCCGTTGCTTGTCTCCAATTAATAGACCTATATCGTACTGATGATTGCTAAAAAGCATGAAACAACGTTGTATAACATTGGTTATGGTCACAGGAACGAAACGCAAACATATAGATCATGTATCAATAACCTTGCTTGCTTGACACATACTATATGCGACAATTTGGATGATTAGGTACAGGTTGTTGTTGTTGATATGGACATGGAAAAGGCATTTGATTGAATAAATTCAGGCATCCTATTGAAAAACTGAGTTTCTTTGGGTTCTCTGACGATCTTGTATCATTGTTTAACTCTTATCTCTTCAATAGCAGACAATATGTTGAATATGAAGGATACTGTCCACCGCTCATTAGGCCTACTTCAGGAAATTCCCAGGACTCAAATCTAGGACCCTTACTGTTTCTGTAATACATAAACGATCAAGCTCTTGACTTCCATTGATCAAAATTATTGTAAGCAGACGAGTTAAAAACTATTGCTCAATAAACACTATCGATGACTGCCTTGTCTTGCAGAATCACAATATCTTCATGGTCCCAAGCTAATCATCTCAACTTAAATGCTGACAGGGGCTGCGTTGTATCTCACAAGAATATAGAATAATTAAATTTTTTAATATTACCTTGGAAACTTAGGCCTTACGCGTCAAGATCAAGTTGACGATTTAGGAATTATCTTTAACCAAAAATGTTTTTTCTGGCCATATAGATACTAGTGTTTCGACATCTAATAAAATGTTTTGGTTCATCATGAGAAACGCTAGAGAGTTATTTGTCCTCGTTCTCAAAATTATATAAACGAGTTATGTACGTAGCAAGTTATAGCATGGTATATGATTTGGTATCCACACTGTGCAGCACTTATTAATAAAATCAAACGTGTTCAGAATTTTTTTTAAATAACTGAGTTTTGCAGTCTAATGAAGGAAAGTTTGTTTCTGTGGACAATAGGCTCATTTTTCTATCAACATATTTTAATATATAAAATTTTGTATAAACTGGTTCATAGGAATATAGTATGTGAATTTTTGTTAGGTAAACTTCGAGAGTACTTTAGTGTGAATGTGCTTAACTAAATCATCAGTTTCAATCATTTGTGACAATTTTAACTTAATAGGTAACGTCTGTGAAACTAATTCCTCACCTATGCTTGGTTACAAATCAATTTTGCAGATTACTTTTCATATGTAACTTTTTTTACTATTCCTTTGTTACTTAATTGTTTATATTTATACAGGATGATTCACAAGTCGTCACCAAAAATGAAACATCACACACAGGACCGCATTTTAAGGGGGGTCTTTTATGTAACATCTTTTTCTCGAGCGCTTCATTAAAAAGATACGGGGTATTGAAGTTTAAAAATAAAAAACAGTTTTTTTAATATCTTCAAAACCGTCAACTCGGATAAACTAAAATTTGGCATGTGGATTGTCCACATTCAAAATTCTTTACTCCAAATTAACGTGCACCAGTGGCAGAGATACAGGGGATTAGTGGCATTATTTTTTCAAATAAAAATGGATCGCTATTGCTTTTTTTTCGAAACGCGCAATTTTCCGAATGCTACTTTCAATTTGCTAAAAAAATCACTCTTGTGTTTTTTCCTAGAGTGCACTGTTTTCGTAAAAATAAAAATTAAACAAATTAGATTATTCATGAAGAGCCGGGATACAATAAAAGATAAAATAGGAGGCCTTAATACCAACTTGACGTTTCATGGGAGATAGTCTGTCAATGTTATGTGTTATACGGTTGTTATTTTTACTACTACCACTTTTTTTTTTTTGTAAAAGTCAAGTCAAAAGCTTCTTTCTTCAGTGTTGTGAAATGTAATGATGAGTACGTGGATATTATTTTTGCGTACGGGTTCTGTAATGGCTTTAGCTGCTTCTCGGAAGTATCAACGTAGGTTTCCGAACAGACGCCAACCTACCCCAAAGGTTCCTACGCATTCATTTTTAAGAGTTCGGCAATATGGAATTAGAGACCATGGTGTCTGGCATACTGTTCAAGAGGAACTGGAAGTAATTAATTTGGCGTTGGATGATACTAGTACATTCACTAGGCGCACTACAGCCATGTTCCCAAAGTATTACGTAGAGAATTTTTAATCGAGAAGTTTTACATCCTTACCATCGGCAAAACGTGCAATGTCTGCAACCCAGCGACGAAGTGCCGAGAAATTTTTGTATGTGGTTATTGCAAATGCATAATCAAAATGCAGGTTTTATTAATTTGATTTTGTAGTCAGATGAATAGCTTTCTAAGAGGAGTGGAACCTTGAATTCTCATAATGAACATACTAGGTCGTTAGAAAATCCCCGTTCTGTAAGAATCCACTCGTTTCAACACAAATTTTATAGAAATGTCTGGTGCTGAATTTTCAATGGTCAACTGCTTATGCACGCATTGCCACAATGTTCAAATGCAAACTCATACTTAGCAACATAGTACGAATATGGTATCAGCACGACGGTGCCCCACCCCATGTTCGTCGTGACATAACAGCATGGTTAAATAATCATTTTAGACAATGATGGATTGGCAGAAACGGACCCGTACATTGGCCTGCGAGGTCTCCTGATTTGAACCCCCTGGATTTTTTTTTGTGGGGCGCTCTTAAACAACTAGTACCATGCTGAACAAATTAATACAGTTGATCAGTGACAAGAAAGAATCGATAATATGTTTCATCAAATTCAAGCCACAACAAATTTTGCGGAAATACGTTTTTCTTCATTAAAAAGATCCCGCACTTGTATCCGTCAGAATGGTGGTCTTTTCGAATATCTATTGAAATAAGGCTTTGATTATTTGATTTTTTTATTTTTACTAGAACAATGCACTTCAGGAAAAAACAACACGAGAGTAATTATTTGTAGCAATTTGAAGGTAAGATTCGAAAAATTGCTTTTAGTAAGTTGACTTTTGAATCTGGACAATACTTACGTAAATCCACATATCAAATTTTAGTTTATTCCAGTTGACGGTTTTGAGTATATTAAAAAATGTTGTTTATTTTTAAACTTTAGCTCTCCGAATCATTTTAATGAAGTCCTCGAGGAAAAAATGTTACGTAGAATACCCCCCTTAAAATGCGGTTCTGTGTATGATGTTTTATTTTTAGTGACGACTTGTGAATCACACTGTATAACATTCGTTGTTTTTTCTCTCTATGTTCGCTTGGTTTTAAGCATCGCCTCTTATTGGGTGCTCACCTGCCTGCTGAAAATAAATGTCAACCTATTTATCTATCTATAACCTATTCTGTCTGTGTAACAATGTTTTTATGAGTTCAGGAAGGATCCTTTGACATACTGCGTCCATGACAAATCGTTGCTCGATTCATTAGTAGATTAGGATTCCAGAAAATATATGTTCCGCTTTCCCACAAAGTTGCCGCAGTGAAATGGTGCAGAGCCCAACGCTGGCGTTCCAGCGGATTCTCCCTTCGCTGCTGCCACTAGCGCTATCCCGAAGGATCAGCAGGAGAACGGGAATATTTATTAGGCGAGCAATCGGCCAATCCGACGCTAGTTTTATGCGGAAACTTTCCTGGGAAAGTTACGGGATGTGCGATGTTTGGCAGTTTTGTGGAGGTAACAGACTTGTTTAAGTACATATTGCAGGCGGGGGAACGTTTTGATGGATTACCTACTAGAACATATGTTACGCGCTCTCCGCCCTGTCTTCGAAATCAGTGGCGTAGCATAAGACGTTTCTCAAAACGATAGCCTTTTTCAAAATACAACTAGCAACAACAATATATTCTATGCTTATCCAGGCCACAGCTATGTTCTTTTCTTGGCTACTATACAGTGTATTGCGACAACAACCTGAACGGTCCTGCACCTCGCCGAAATCGCGAAAAGCCAACATTATAATAATTTTAAGATGACACCGCTTAAAACCAGCAAAGCCAAGGACCGCCTGTGGTGGACATTCCCTCCCCTGAAAGACGTCCAGCCGGCACAAAGCGACAACCGAACACAAAATCATATGTTGTTTTGAATGAAGCAGACACGTCCCCGTCGCCCATCGTCATGAAAACGATAAAAAAACGCGAGTCGGTGAAGACTGTTATCGCAATATACTGGTTGTCGGTTATACAATATCTGGCTACAAATGCAGTATCTGTTCATAGATCGAAAATGTCGAAATGTTACTTCGACACCTCAAGGGCACAATGTTGTTTGTCTTGTGAGAAAATATGGGGTTGTCCAAAACGGACGCAGGAAAGTAAACGCATATTAAAACAAGAAAGATTGATATTCAAATCAAGTTGGGTACTTTATTTTGAAGGTTTATTTATACCATTTACGTATGAAAAATAATATCGCTCAAATGTTCACCACGACTGGATTTACAGACGTCCACGCGATGGTCGAAATTTTCAATGACATTTTGCAACATGGTCGGTTCTATGGCATTTATCTCGGCAATGATGTTATTTTTGAGTTCTTGGAGGGTGGCTGGTTTGTTGACGTAGACTTTGCTTTTCAAGTATCCCCATAAAAAGAAGTCCAAGGGAGTCAAATGGCACGATCTTGGTGGCCATGGCACATTTCCTCACGTGATCACCGAAGAAGGACTGCAATCGATGGATATTGACGTTGGTTGTGTGGCATGTTGCACCGTCTTGTTGGAAATAAACATCGTCCATATCCATTCCTTCAAGTTGCGGCAAAAATTAGTCCTCTATCATCACGTGATATCGCTCAGAATTGACGGTAACGGCGTCCCCGGCCGCATTTTCGAAAAAGTAAGGTCCGATGATGCCTTTTGACCATAATGCACACCACACAGTCACTTTTTGAGGATGCATCGGCTGCTCTTGATACTCACGGGGATTTTCGTTCGCCCAGATGCGGCAGTTTTGCTTGTTTACCGTCCCATTCAAATTGAAATGCGCTTCGTCGCTGAACATGATTTTTGATGAAAAATTGGCATCAATTTGGCGGTGTTCAATGAGATAATCTGAGAACGTTCGGCGCGAAAAATGGTCGGCCCGACGCAGCTCTTGTGTCAATTGGATCTTGTAGGCGTGTACATTCAAATCCTTATGGAGAATGCGGAGCAAACTGGTTCTCGAAATGCCCAATTCTTGGGATCGACGCGTTGTTGATTGTTTCGGATCGTCTCTTACACTCTCCTTCAAAACAGCAATATTTTCCGGTGTGCGAACGCTCCTTGGCCGGCCAGAGCCTGGCAGATTTGCCACAGAATCTGTTGCCTCGAATTTACGCACCAGACGACCGATGGTTGTTTCGTTTGGGCGGTTGTTGCGACCGAAATGTTCACGAAGCGCGCGAAACGTGCTTTTTTATTTTTGCACCATTTTTGTAGTCCTCTTGAATAGCTTTAATGCGGTCTTCAATCGAATACGACTCCATAGCGATCAATGGTAAACATTCAACTAACAAAATGACATTTCGGTGACAGAAAACAAAGATGGCGTCTATGTCAAATTGACGATTACTTTCCTGCGTCCCTATTGGACAACCCTTTAATATAAGACACAGTTTGGAAAACTAGAAACCATAAGAAAAAACCTAGAACTGAACCGCTTATGGTCAACCAGTCGGTTTAAATTGCATCTTTCCTGTAAAGATACTCAAGCAATTTAGGTCACAATCTATAGAGATATTGGAAGCGTGGGCATATCCGCAATAAAGCCCCCCTCTCGACGTCTGATACCTGCTTTTGTAATCCAACACCATTATGTTACTTTCTGACACATCATGGCGATAGAGGCGGTACTAACTATAAATTATCGCTATAGGAACTGAGTTTGCGATTTTTTGGTGTCCTTGGTATTCCAAACGCGTCCTTCTTTGACATCACTTACGTTTACAGCACAATTCTTACGATTTATACGTACATATCGTCGGTCTCCGCACGTACCGGCGTAACTAACATTTTACAAATTTTACAGGAGAGCTAGAAAACGAAAATCAGCAATAAATGAGATTGAAAGTGACATACTGATTTTTCAGTCTGAACGTTGCTGTTTCTTTTTGTTAGACTAAAGTGATGTAGAACCAGCTTTAACGCAGAGGCGTAAATCTACGTATTTAAGCCGGTACGTGAAAATTGTTTTCGGAATTTTATAACTTAGGCAATTTTCTGAAAATATTAATTCTTAGCAGCGAACTGATATACAGCTACGTCACTTCGTGAAGTCAGAGACTACAAAAAATCTGTGAAATTACGGCGTAACTCGATTTTAGATTATTTCTCATTTACGCCTCTACGTGCGGAGACCGACGATATATACGAGTAATGCGGCTTATGACAAATCTAAGTCTGAGTACCTAATATACTAACTGACATATAAATCCGAACACCCAGTTTAAATGGTTTTATTTTAATAACATTTTGTATAAGTACTTAATGAAGCATAATAAGTAAATGATAAAAATTTCAAAATGATTACACTGCTTTAAAGCCCTGTGACCTTTAATAATGTGTGGATGCACCCTGATGTGCTACGCATTCTCCATCGCGCCTAGGCATGCTTCTGATCAGGTGGTCAATGTCCTTCTGTGGTATCTCATTCCAGGCAACCACCAACTCCTCTCGAAGTGCTTCTAGAGTCTGAGGAGGACGTTGCAAATTGAGCAATCTCCTACCCATCATATCCCACACGTGCTCAATTGGGGATAAGTCGGGAGATCTTGGTGGCCATGGTAACAATGTGACATCATTCTGTTGAAAGAAGTCTATTGTGACTCTTGCAACATGTGGTCGGACATTATCTTGTTGGAAAGTTGGATCTGCCAGGGTGTCAAGATAGGGTAAAAGATGGGGTTCTAGAACTTCGTGGATATAACGCTGCGCGTTCATGTTACCTCTGATGAAGATTAAAGGTGACCTGGAACCATAAGCTATAGCACTCCAAACCATAACTCCAACAGTGTGATGAACATGTCTTTCAACAAGAAACTGTGGATTCCTCCTTTCACCACGTCGCCTTCTAACCCTGGCACGACCATCGTGCATGCCTAAACAAAATCGAGACTCGTCGCTAAAGACAATACTGTTCCATTCCTGATCCCAGAGTGACCGTTGTCTGCACCACTCAAGGCGATTACGTCGGTGTTCTCGAGTTAAAGGGAGGACCCAGTGTGGCCGGTATGAAAACAAGCCAAAACTTCTCATTCGTCGGTAGATACTTCGCATGCCAATAGGTCTTCCGTGTTCTGCAAACCATTCATTTGCAATGGACCTGGTAGTGGAGAAACGGTCCCTTAAGGCCAATATTCTTAGGCGGCGATCTTCACGGTCTGTTGTTCTACGGCGGCGTCCAGTGCCCCTTGCGCTTTGCGTACGGTCTTCTCGAAGCCATGCCTGACAACACCTAACCACAGTGTCTACACTTCTTTGCACTCTAACTGCAATTGCCCGAAAAGAAAGTCCAGCTTCCCGAAGTCCCACTATTCGGCCCCTATCAAACTCACTAAGTTGACGAAATCGTACAGCTCTCCGTACTCTAGGCATCGTAACCGATCATAAAGGATGTCAAGAACCAAAATCCGCCAACGTTGATTCTTTACTGCGGCTGAAATATTCATTTTTAGAGCGTTAGTGAATTAAAAAAAGCAGTATAAAAACCGGAATGTCCAACTGATAAGGCTGATAATGTTTTCACTTGTTATTTACAGTAAGATAAATACATTCACCAACTTTTATTAAAATAAAACCATTTAAACTGGGTGTTCGGATTTATATGTCACTTAGTATATATTATATATACAGATTGCACTTGAAAAGTGATTTATGTTCTGGTTGTGGCCCTGGGGCTGGTGTTGCAGTGAAGCACTAAGTTAGATGAACGCCTTAATTTCAAATAGACATTTATAATATGTTCACCGGTGCGCCTGTGGCCTGTCCAGAAAATGCATCAATCGATGCTCACATCCCGCATCTCTTCCCACGTATGTGTCTATTAATGTTGCTATATTTAATTCGTTTAAATCACAGAGCTTCTGCACTACACGTGAATATGTACAGCCCTATATTCCTGTACTTGTTTCGCGCAAACTTTCGTCATCAAAATAATTACAATCTAACAATATAGTTTTTTCCAAAGATTTCCAATATTTTTACATGCGATGTGAGCGCCAATATTTTTCAAATTCTCACTCTGCAACTTCAACACCGTTTCGAAAACTGAGAAAATAACAGCTATGCTGTAAATCTGAGATCGACAACGAAAGTCGGAAGAATAACTGTAACATTTATATTGAATTTCAAAAAATATCTGACTATACCTATTGATACTTTTATCACCTGCTGATATAATAGATGTGCTTGATTGTGTCAGTATTTGAACCAACTACTTGATTTGTTTGATGGGCAGTTCAGAGTCTTACTCCTTAACCTTAGTACACACTAGTAGACCCTGTTGCGCAATTTGTCGATAGGCAGTCTGGAGATGGACTGAAGACTCGATCTATAGATGGTCTATAGATATCCTTCTTTGTCCCGTCTAGCGTCCATACGATAATGTGAACTTTTCGGCCTCATGTTCGTTTTCGCCATCAAAGACATTGTTTTGTGTGGAATGGACTGGGACATGTCTCTAGATGTCGTGTGACGACTACACTGTTGGAAGGTGTGAACATATGTACATTCCGATCGGGAGACTATAGACGTGCGATTTTTGGTTTCACAACAGGCCCGTAGACGGGGATTGGTTTATAGACATGTCTACATAGACATCCTGAGATATATTTCAGAGGTTAACATCGCACAACATGTTTGCTAGTTCTGAGGATTTATGAGTATTTTCCATTGTATTTTTAAGCTGGCATTGACCCGATAAAACAATGGATTTAAGGAGCAATCATGGATTAAATTCTAGGAGCTCCACTGAGGTTGAAGAATTACCAGCCCCAAACATCGTTTCCCCCCCCCCCCCTTCCCCCATCTAGATGAAACCAGTCCTTGCATATCGTGGTCGATTGTCCTTTGTTTTTCATCTAAGTTTCCGTAAAACTAATTGTCTTCCTTTGTATTGACTCATGGGCTTGTAGTACCACGGCATGTAGGTATAGCTGGCGACGTTAGTTGATGTCTCACTAGCACAAGGTCCTCTGACCAGTGACACAATTGTGCCTGCTGGCTCTTTTTGGTGGCTTCTAGTTGTATTTCCCATTCCATCCTCGTTTGCCTTCAGGCTAGACACGTATCCAGATGTGATGAACATATGTTTTCACCTCGGTGTTTTTGATGCACATCCATTTGGGCCTGATGAAATAATAAGCAGATAGGTACGTCGCTCGGGTTTCCAATCCTTCTATTTCTGCTCCTGTTCCTTTATTGCAGATATGCCCACGATTGACCTTTATTGTTGTTCAATCATATATAAACTGATTCCTTCATCTTCCTTTTGAGTGAGCTCTATCACCATGAAAACTGGATAAGATTCAGGTGTTACATGAATGCAAATCTTGATTAAACTACTCAACTCCACAGGTTAGGCTGTGTCATTATCTGCTGAATCGCCATTGGATACAGATACATGCAAACCATGATTTAATCACTTATTCCAACATATTTTCCTTTTTTTTTTTAGGTAAATATATACCTAGGTGCCCTATTATTGATACTTACGGCCGATCGGCGATCTGGGGGATTAGGTTAAGTCACCATACCTAAACAGCATGATTTAACCTATTAACTCCAACATTTTCCCTATTTCCAAGGAAACAGTACTAATACCACACTTGTGGTCTATAAGAGGCCCTGATCTCAAATGGCAAACGGCTGCTTTATATGGCGCATTATGTCTTGAGTTTTGGAGTGTTGACACAGTCTATACTTCGTTATTGTCTCTTGGGTCGCCACTAAGCACAGATAAACCCTGCTTCACCAGTTTCCACCACATTTTAACGTCTACTGAGGTAAAAAGCTGATCAGCAAGTGAGATTTTTGTAATAGTTTGTAACGTCAGCAATAATGAATCGGGTGTAAATCTAGTAAACACTTGCTTGTAGCGTTTTTTTGAATGCGAATCAACTTTTCTAAATCAAACAGTTGTTAGCAAGTACAAAACGAATCTATAGCATGCATAACAAAAACAAAATACTGTAATAGATTCATATATTTTGGGCTTTGGCGCCCGAAGTAACAACTTGATTTCTGGATGATTAACTTTATTATATCTAAAAATGTATATTGATAGTTACTGCAAGGTACCTCGGTCATTCCTCTGCCTAGCGCAGCATTTCCCGTGAGTTATATTACTTGCAAAACCTAACAAGTTTCCAATAACAATATATTAAACAATATGATCTTACCATACTACAATACGGTTCTGTCTACCTGGCGCTAATAGATTCGTTAGAATTGTGTCATTTGTGGATATAGGAAATTTTCAAATATTACAAAATAATCAGAAAAAGACAATACGTACGAAACACGATTTAATTACTTAACCTTATAACGTTTTTCCCTCTTTACAGGTAAACATAATTCCATTAGCACTGTTGTGGTGTCATTGTCTCTGATCTCCAACGACAAACGTCTCTTCTCTATGGCGGATTGTCTGCTGGGTCACCATTGGACAAAGATACATGCACATCATGATTTAACCATTTAATCCCAACGTGTTTTTCGCTTTTTATAGGTTATCAGGGACCTAGCAACCCCATTGTGACGTTCCTGTCTTTGTTCTCAGACGGCAAACGGCTCTATTCTACGGCAGATTATATCGGGGATTTGGTGTGTAGACACAGGCTAGACCGTGAAATTATCTATCAATAATTGTGGGACTCAAAGAGCAACAACTGTCGAAGATCTAGAGATAGTTTTTGATTCTGAGTTAGCGTATGCAGAACATGTTGAGCAAACAGTGGCTGTGGCTTTGAAGCTTTACGGGTCCATCGTGCTGAATTGTAGAAACTTTTGAAATACTAATGTGATCAAGCTTTTGTTCAATTCGCTTGTACGCCCGGAGATATGATTGTGTTATATGGGATCCTTTATATGATTGCTACGCCTTTGCAATATAAAGGCTACAACATAAAGTCTTGCAGTAATTGGCCTCTAAAGTAGATGGAACTTGCCCTGAACGTCAGCATGCCGAACTTTTTTTCATTGCTAAAATAACCGGCTGGCATCTTCGACGAAAGTAAAGCAATATTGTGAATATACAAATATAACAATACTCAGTGACAGATATTTACGTCATGTCAACCATTTGCTTGCAACGCCTACTAATAAAAAAATAAGAGAAAACGCATTTTTCCTTATAATCAAGAAAATAAATGTAACATCCGTTATATCGTTGGATTCGTATAAAAAATTATATTAGACACAAGGTCGGACCATATAAAAAATAAAGTTGATGCTGGTTGATCAAAAACGAACTGTTGGGCACAAAATGTAAAGTATGTAGTGCCGAAAAAGTGCCAATGGAAAAGTTCCATTAGTTTTTTAATATTTCTTGAAATGAATTCATAAACAATGATGAAGTTTTAGTTTCTCCCAAATAGCTCAGTAAGCCATGAAATTCCTCAGCGGCATGTAAATATGCCCCAACGATCGCAACTCTTTCCTAATTTAAACTAAGCTCTATCTCCCACAGGTATTGATATCCCTATGCATACGATTTTCACCTTAGGCACCCTGTATTGCTTATTTTTTGTAGTTAGGCATATGATAATTCACGATTTCTCTTAATTACAATGTAAATGGTAAAACTACTGTTATCAACTGCCGGGTCACGGTTCCACACAGACACATGCTAAACATGACTCAACCGTTTAAGTCCAACGTGTTTTTCGCTTTTTTCAGATAAACAGAGGCCTAGCGGCCCTATTGTGACGTCCCTGTCTCTGATCTCAAACGGCAAACGGTTGTTCTCCACGGCGGACCGTGTCGGGGATCTGGAGTGTTTGCACGGCCTACGCTATCTCAGCATCTGTTGGGTAACCATAGGACACAGATACATGCAAAACATGATTTATCCTTCGTACAACTCCATCCAGCTGATTTACGTGAGTCGAACGTGCACGAAACGGCTTAAAAGGATTTTAGTGTGTTGAGCGGATCGAACATCATTCAAGATTAATGATTTTTTCTGACCTAGCACGTTCAGGACGTTATTTGAAATCTGTAAACAATTATGACAAAAGAGTGAGTTCACACATACTAAATAAGGAAGTACCGCACGAGTATTATGCAAAAAAACTATAAAACGTCGAAAAATGACCTATAAGATGTCATCTTGCAGACTAGGTAGTTTTCAGGGTGCAAACAGTCAGTTTTCATATCAGAGAAGAATTTTGGTTGAATAGCAGGATCGCATCCGTATGATTATGTGTATTGGTCTGCATGTACATAGAATGAGTGATATTTGCTGAATGAGAAACTCATTACTGAATATGCTGCTAATGAAGTATATCTATAAGCTGTTCCCGACAGGTTATTTATATGTTGCCCTTTCCGAATACAGGTTATGCTCAAAGTTATAAATTACGACTTTTTTACGTCTATTTGTTTCCAAAAACTTTGAGAAGAATTACGGGAAATTACCACCGCACCCGCATTGTGTGTGATTACTGTTAACATGTATATGACTTGTAATTCGACAGTGTACAATGAACATAATTATCTCTTAACTCTGTCATTTCTTAAATTCAGCAAATTTGCGTATGTAATCTCAATTAAGTATATTTGAGACAAGAATCCAATGGAATTATCAACACATATTATTGGCACACAAATTCTTAGCTCAGACCTCCAGTAATGCCATCACTGGAGTACACATCACATTAGAGCCACACATTGATAACTGAAGCATCATGATGTTTAGGAAACACGTACAACTACAAAACGAGTTCACAAGTGTCCATCAGCTAGTGCTAAGTTAACATCTTGTAGAAAAACCTACACAATGTCACAAAAAAATAGTACAATGTCAAAACAAAACCACATAATGCAGCATTGCATTGGTGGAAATCACAGATGAGTAGTATAGATGAGCATGGTCAACTAACGCCTTCCTTCTACCAGTTGTTCTCAGCTTCCTCTACAACTTGAATTATGAAATAGACTGGGAAATGAGAAGGCGACGAAATTGATAGTCCTTTTCAACTATTTTAGTGAATAATTGTTGATTAACTTTCGTATCAATTAATGGTTTGATATAATGACACATTTTACATTTATAGATGAAAACTACATTAGACTAAGTATTTTATTATATTCCAAGTAATCAATTAAAATACTCATTTCTATAAAAAGAAAACACTTGACATAAACCATTGATTAGATTCAGTGCTTAAGCCAAATGGTTTACAAGGTTTGCCGCAAAGTAAACAGAACTTTGAAAGATATCGGATACAAGTAGCGCCATCTAGCGTTGAACATGTACATCTTTCATTGAGGCCTTATCAAATTTCATGACAATCGAACCACCGCCATGCGCTTTGCGGGTTCGAATCCCGCCCCAAGAAATTTTTCACTTGGCTGTGGATGTTGTGATTGTCCGTAGGTGGTAGACGGTCGCTTACTGTCGAACGCGGAGGTACCACCCGGCGGATCTCGTAGGTGGAGTCAGAATGTGTGCATGTTGCTTGCACACGTACTCCCTCGCCAGAGTCCATGTTCCACCTTTCTCCTTTACCCCCCTATAGCCCTACGGTACCCCATGGCTGTTTAGGCCTAAGGCTTTCGTGGTAGATGAAGTATAAAAACATGGCACGAAAAACCATGTCACTCATTTTCGTCGCTCTGTCCGCCTATCGTTGGCTCTCCATAATTCGGAAAGTACCGCTCAAATTCTGATGAATTGTTGACACAAGATTTCCGTCGTAATTAATGGTACTCCTCTTCATTCCGCAACATCAACGCGGGTGTTCCCCAGGGATCGATTTTGGCGCCGACATTGTTCCTGTTACATCTTAATGACTTTTCCTGTATGATCAATCCAATCCACGGCTTTGCTGATGCCCACACTCTACATGCGGGCAGGAATTCCGAGTCACAAGCTGATCTCTGTGAGTGAGTTGTAGAAAGAAAGACTAGCAACGACTTCCTCTCTAATGAGAGACCTGGAGGTTATAACTGCTTGGGGACGCAATAATCTGGTACAGTTTAATGCTTCCACAACACAATACTATACCTTGAAGTACTTTTCTCTACATATCCTCCTAACTCACAATACCCAAATACCACCTCGCCTCGAGCATTGCTCATATGTTTGGGGTGCTGCCGCCCCAATTACATTATCTATGCTCGATGCTGTTCAGAGGAGGGATTTCCGCCTCATCGATAACTCTTCTCTAACGGACAGTCTCGAGACCCTTTTGCACTGACGCGCCATCGGCTATCTACGAGTAGTTTCCTCTACCACTTTGTGAACGGACTTTACTCCTTGATGCTGCTGCGCAATGTGCTTGCCAGACAGACCCGCCTGACCTCAGCCTCCCATTCTTAACGAGTTGACCCTCGTAAATCCAGAACTAGTCGATACGACCGCTCCTTTGATCCCGGGGTATCGAGATTGTGGAACAATCTACCCAGCTCTACTAGCCTTGGGCATTTCAAAAATCGGATTAACGATTCTGTGAGCTCCTCATAGCAGCCACGGTGCCTTGGTATTTAGACCTTTTCCTACGTGGCTGCTTTGGTATATACAGGGTGGCGCATCGAAAACGAAACAGACGCATTTAATGGCAGCTCATTTTTTTTTTTTTTGGAAAAACGCTCAGACTCGTCGATTTTGTTTTCGAGGGGAACACAAGTTTGACCAAAAATCACGTTAGCACGTACAGACCCCTAAGCGGGGGTGACACCACCCCTAAAATCTTAAATAGAAAGGGGAGTCGAGTGATACCTTATTTTAAAGGTATTTCAATTCAGGCTGGTATTTTTGGCGATCATTTAGTTGGTCCTTTTCTGTTACCTGGAAAGTTGACCGGTGAAATGTATTTGGAATTACTGGAAGACGCCATAGATCCTGCATTAACAGCCATAATTGAAAATCAGAATGATCGGCGGTACATTGCGAATAGGTTGATGCTTCAACAGGATGGTGCCCCACCACATTACGCATTACGTGTTCGACAATATTTAGATCAGACGTTTCCAGATCGATGGATTGGTAGAAGAGGTGCCATGGAATGGCCCCCAAGATCGCCAGATTTATCACCTTTGGATTTCTTTATGTGGGGTCATTTGAAAAGCAAAATCTATGCTACGCAGCCAACATCATTAGAAGACCTGCGACAAAGAATTGTGAATGAGTGCCTTCAAATTACTCCTCAAATATTGCAAAACGTGCCGCAACGTTTTGAGCAAAATCTTTATTATTGCATGGAGAGTCATGGTGGCTATTTTCAACATTTACTTGTTTAACGGGTCAGTTCATTCTTCATTTATAAATTACTTTGCTGCCAAATGTATCGATCTCCACTAATGATGATGTATTAGTTTTATTTAAGCTTTAAATCAATAAATCTTCAAAACTACTCAACTGAAGTACATTAATTTTATATCATTATAAAGGGAATTGAAAGACCTTTAAAATAAGGTATCACTCTACCCCCTTTCCATTTAAGATTTTGGGGTGGTGTCACCCGGTAGATGGGAGGCACGAGTGACTACCACTGACACTTTTTGAAAGTCTCTTACGGTTTAATTTTTTTGACATTTTCTCATATCTCTAGATCCCCGTGGAAATCCCCAGATTTTCTTTAATTTCTATGAATCAGTTTCACACTCTATCGTATAAAGTCGCGATTTCGCGAAGAAACAATAGAACATGATTGGACTGGAAAGTAATACCAGACTCATGAGCAGATGCCCAGATTCTTCTTGGATCATCACAGATTCTTCATGGCTTGCCTGGATTGCCTTGGATTTCCTTCCAGTGGGATTCAGAGTCTGCTTAGAGGCTCAATTGTCTGAAATCGGAATTGTTATGATATATTTTCCAGTAGAACATGAATAAGGCTAATATGACTATCAGTATATAGCAGATAATCTGTAGTCCATTTATGCCCACACAAAACACAACATTCCAAAAGCAAGATCGTACAGGTCCGTATTTTCCTCAATGGTCTTGGAATAATCTAACAAGATAAATGATTATTTTTATAGAAAGAAGTGCACATACTGTTCACATTTACTTATTCGCTGGAAGTACTTGAATCATAGTCCGAATGGTTGATATTATAAACAGGTTCAATTTGAATATCAATCATATTGTCCAGATCCCACGTCTTTGTTTCGATGTTTCGATTGTATCTTGAAGATGACGGATGTAATATTTCCAATGGTTTGTCGTCACTTTGTTGACAGCTTCGTATAACAAATTTTTTACGTCAGAAAATTTAAATGTTCTTTTGTTTGAAGCCACATATTTCGTCGATAACATTAAGATTGTATTTATATTTGTTAAGATCTGCTTTGACCATATTTTCATTGAAGCTAATGTGTCTTGATAGGAGCCATTGCTGAATTTCTGCCTTTCTTGTGGACATTGTGAGAATTTTTTCTAGTTTTCTAGTGTGGTATGCAGCAGTATCAATTACAATGACCGCATTGACGTCAAGCTTTGGGGGCGTTTCTTCAAACCATCGTTCAAATGAACTCTCGTCCGTTTCTTCATGGTAGTCAGTCGTTTTCTTTGGCTCAAATGCCCATAGGGCAGTGGGCACAAAGCCATCTTCACTCCAAATGTCGTTTTCCTTTTTTCGGAAATAATTATTTCATATAGTATTCAAGAAAACTAATGATAATACAAGCAGAGTATCCAATAGGTGTTGGTTCCAAATCTACCAGATTTAGCTAAGTTTAGTGTAACTAAGTTTTTAGCGTGGGCTCATAAATTCAGTATACTTGACACAATTCTTGCTACACAAATGACGAATTGGTTAGTTACACGGACCAAACGGATTCTATAGGCCAGTTTTTAGTACATCTAAGAAGGCTTGTCTTGCTGATTTAATTGTAGAGTAAGCCCATACTGTGGTTTTGTATGTCTTGGTTTCATCCAAGTAATAAATCTTCCTGCCTTGGTCGCGGTATTCCTTTATAGATCTTAAATAATGTCTTATCCATAAAATAATCTCTTGGCTGTCCATCAAAGTACTATTTCTGCCTCGTTTTCTATATTCAAAATGAAGTTCTTTGAGTAAGCTATAGAATGTGCTCCTTTTGAAAGTAGGTAAGTCTTCATCATTAGGACCTCGGTTGGCCGCGTGGGTCAGAGTGTCGTGGTACTGATCAGCCGGCCGGCCGGGCCGCGTGTTCGAATCTCGCCTTCGCCATGGATGTTGTGTGTTTGTTTTAGGCAGCAGCGGTGGCCGCAGTAGTAGACTCTTCGGTCTCCTGATCAGTCGCCGTGCGCTGTGCGGGTTCGAGTCCCGTCCCAGGAGAAATGTTTCTCTTGGCCATGGATGTTGTGATTGTCCGTAGGTGGTAGATGGTCTCTGACTGTCGAACGCGGAGGT